AGAGAGAGAGAGAGAGAGAGAGAGAGAGAGAGAGAGAGAGAGAGAGAGAGAAAGACCAGGATAAATTCTCTCAGTGAGCTCAAAGAAGTTTGTCATTTTCACTGGCAAAGGACATAGCTGTGCTATTTGCTGGCTCACCTGCGCTTCACTTTGAAATCTGTGGCGGACTGCTTCTCCTGAGCCATGAGAGGGTTTCCTTTCAGGATGTTTTCCGTTCTGATCCGCTCCTCTTCTGCTTTCCGTTCCGCCTCCTATAATCAATAAGGTTAAGGAGTTGAGTAAAAGCTCATGGCGGATCAACACAACAAGAACAACATTTCATCAAAAATAGACATCACAGCAGTTATAATATAATCATAATTGTATAAGCCCATACCCATGCTCTGTTGCAACTACTACTGCCCTGACATGACAAACAGACCGTAGAATACATTCTGGTAGCATCCTTGGCTTTCCGAGAAGCATACAATGCAAACAGCCAATTAAGTTTTCAAGCAGGAAAACAAACTGACATGACTTTTTCCCATCTCTAGCCTGGTCCCTGTTCCCACAAGGGTGAAGTGAGAAAAATGTAAGTAAAGTGCCTTTCCTATCCTAAAGATATAGTGTTTGGGCCCCTGATGGGATTCATCTTTCCATAATCTTTTCATTACGAGCCTGACGGGGACAGTTTAATTCACTGACTTGAAATCCCCACGCAATCCCGACTGCCGGCATTTCAATGGTGTTTTAGAACATCCATCGTCGGATAGCTATTCAAAATTGAATAGACAAAATATAAATTTCACTATACAGCATTTTTAAGTTCTGTTTTATTCAGGAAAACACAGATTTTCAAAAGGTGTCATACTTTTGTTCATTTGAAATTTGGAATTACTTGAGCCACTGGTAGAGGAAGTGAAATGCACTTTTTTTTAAACGACCATCTGGTATCAGTAGGCTATTTACAATATCAAGATCAATAAAAACGTGCAGTTTTTCCTTCAGAGGCTAGATGATGTGCAAGTAAAACCTAAAATTGTGAAACAAAAATTTACCCGTTGTACCTCAACTCTCAAAAACCCCACAAAATCTAAATCCCGAAATTGTATGGAGGAACCGGTCATTCTAGCACTTCTGTAAGGGCCCACCAGTAAACATAAATATCATCCAATAGCTTAGAAATTTGGCACAAAGAACAACCTAAGAGGGGTCTTTAGACGCACCACATTCGATGCATGCAGTTTGTAGCTTTAGTAATTTTGCTTTGGGGTGTCGTACAAATTTGGCATTTTTGGGGGCTTATGATTTTTTTTCATAGCCGAAAGAGCAGGAGCAAGCCAACATTGTGATACTCTAATATTGTGCTTGTGAGTATCGAGATCTATAACGACAGTAGGGACAAAATTCCAGCACCCCTCTAGGCAGAATTTGCCAGGGAAATAATAAATTGACATTATTATTCATTATATAAAACTTGAGGCTGTTTTCCAAAACGGAAAAACTAGATACGGAACAAACCTATAGAAGCGAGTTATCTCGGTCGTGGGATTGAACGCAGCCCGTGAGCTGACCGAGACATCTCTGTCATGAGATTGAGTGAGTTAATACGCACAAACGGAATCAATCACGAGATTGAATGAGTTAATACGCAAAAATGGAATCAATCACTAGATCGAGTGAGTTAACTCATTCGCTATGCCGAGCCGTGCCAGGCGGCGCGGCTAAAGTGCCGTCAGTACGCTAAGCCGCCCCTGTCGGCACGAGAACCTATCTTCAATTTTAGCTTAGATTCTATTCCAATTCACATATCCATGTTAAAATAAAGGTCATAATATAATGTTGACTTCCGGGCCAAGCATTTCCACTGAAAATCGGAAATTTAGATTCACCTTTGAAACGCGATTTTTTAGTTTATTCGACTTTGTTTAATCGCGATGCCAAAATTATAGCCCGGACACCAGTTTTTCTAATTTTACACAATAAAATCTATCATTATTTTGCCCACTAAAGAAGTGTAGGACTCTTTTTTGTATAATATTGATACGATTGGACTCATATTGCAAATGCACTGTTATTGAGAAATCAATATTTTTGAGTGCTAGATCTAGAATCAAGGTCTAGATCTAAATAGTCAAAATATTTTTTTCTCCCCAAATTCACTACTTTTTAAATGAAATTACACAAAAAAAGTGCCATTCAAGACATGCTTAGGTTTATTCCAAATGCAATTCTGAATAATTCCATATAAGATACGAGGGGGTTTTATTTTCTGTTTGTGATCATTTTTCAAGATTATAATTTTTAAATTTTTTTTTCAATATCGGATGTTATGTTCAAAATGTACAAATATTATGGAATGTAGGTAAATAACTGCAAACTTTTCAATATTTTCCAGTTCTATATTCATTTATGGTTATTTTGATGTATCATTTGACTTGGTGCAAACATATTTTTTGAGTTTCACCAAAGATTATTCATTTTTTATTTTCAAATTTTATCCACATCCAATCAAAATTGTGTTGCATAATCGCCTCTTACAGGAACCAAAGTTGAAAAATACATAAATAAACATTACAGATGTATTCTACAAACCATACGGAAATATTGGTACAATACGTTGATATTTATTAGAACTTGTGGCCCCAAAGACCTTTTAACTGCCCAATAGTCATCATCTTTCGCTCTCCCGAAAAAAAAATCGTCCACAAGCCGAAAATAATACGTAGCGAATGAGTTAATACGCACAAACGGAATCAATCAGACACTTGATAGCATGGCTTCCCTTTCCACAATTGCCAAGCCTGAACATGGGTTGGTAAATAGTGCAAAAACAGTGAAGAAATGGAAATTTGACAGGGGTGCAGGTAATGGCAGACAGCAAATTTCACTAGACCACATGCGCCATAAGCATTGAAAAGGAAGTAGAAAAATTAGACCAAGACTAGACAGCCTAACAACCACCTTCAAAACAAGACTGCTTCAGCCCTACTCGTCCAAACCATCCCCAGCTGAGCAGGGATACAGCAGAAAATTTGACATTTTGGAGAAGAAAACGGGACTTTCCTAAGTGGAAACCAAACTCAAATCTATAGAAAGTAACCGCGATGAACATTACACGTACACCACAGGTGCCACTTTGGTGGAATGGCGCAGTCACCTGTTCCATAATACTGTTCAAACTGTTTAAGATGGCCAACCAAACTCAAGGAGAAAAGTGGCCATTTAAAGAAATGGCCGTCTTATAGGTATAATTGTAATGTTAAAAAAACATACGGGGGAAAATGGGAAGTGGCCATTTGCATAGGTGGTTGTCTCGAGTGTCCATGAGAACACACTTGACTGTACTCCCAAGTCTCAAAACAAAAATTTCAGGTGAGACAAAGCTCCTCAGTGTTACCTTCCTCCCATTAGTTTTTTCAGAGGGACCTTCCCTTTCCATTCTTCCACTCAATTTTATTTCCAGTTGACATATCAGGAGATTCATACAAAACAACTTTCTCAACAATGAAGTCTTACCATCTTGGCTTTCTCTTCTATCCTTTCTTTTTTTATCCTCTGCAATTCTGCTAGCAATTCTGCAGTATCATCTTCATCATCAGAATCCTCTTCTTCATCCTGTGACAATAAAAATTTAGAGCCGAATCAGACACTGAAACAGGGTTGGGTTGATTTAAATCAGGTCAATTTAAATCAGTTGATTGTTTAAATTTAAATCAACTTGATTTTTAAAATAAAAATCAGTGATTTGAATCACTTTTTAAAAAAATTATTTTTATTCAGTTTTTACATATTTCAACATTCAGAATTCCTTTCCTTGGTTTCATAAAACAGATATAAGGTTTAGTAGACTATATCTAGTATATCATGCTTAAAAGTCTGCTTTCCCCCCTTTCACAATAAAATAATACAGTATTTAATTCTTTTTTTTTTCAATTGAAATCAGAGCTGGGTTGATTTAAATCAGTTGATTTTTTAAATTTTAATCAATTTAATTTTTAAA